AAGATCACTTTAGTGATCTATATAATCCTTGATGGTTTTAAAATTAATAAGTGTGTTTTACACTATTTTGTAATTTCATGTTAGTCTTAAAGACACAGCACACCTATATTTGTTTTCTATTTTGTTTTGGCACTACAAGAACATTGTCATACTCTCTTTCCTTTGTTGTCTTATAGGGCTGCCATTTCAGAATGTAAAAGTAGACCTCATTGAAGTAGTTGTTTCCAAATATGAGTATACAGTTGGGCATGGTGTGACCTCTCATTGTGTCAGAGGTTGAATACATGGGAGTTAAAATACATATATATATATATAAACATACATGTCAGACAGGCAGACACACAGACAGACAGACATAGATAGATAGATAGATAGATAGATAGATAGATAGCATGGATAATCTAAAACAAGTAAAAAAGATAAGATTTTAGCAACATTCTGAAAAGCAGATGGCACCCTGGATTTAGTGCCTAAGGTAGATTAATAAGTTTTGATTGACTAAAGAAATTATGTTTTTACCATGCGATAGAGAGTTCTCAGGAAGTTGATCTCATCTGTCAGAGAATCCACCTTACTCTCTAGCTCTACCTTGTTCATGTATGCAGCATCAACATCCTAAAGATAGTAAAAACACAGGTGTGCGTTATGTTACGTAAAGTTCGGTCTTTGTAGAGTACAAGAGCCAAGTAGAACTGAGAAGGACCTCACCTTTTTAAGCACAACAAATTCATTCTCTGCTCCTGTGCGCTTGTTAATTTCTTCTTCATACCTGTCACACAGGAAATAATTTTAAGTTGATCTACATAAAAAAGTATTATATCATCAACCTTGTGTTAAAAGCTATACAGCAGAATAGGACACATTGCTTAACAAAAACACTATAAATCAAATAACCTTTATTCCTAGCAACATTTCAACCAATATATCCTTTTTTTTTTCATGAAATGCCATCTATACAGGGGATGAAGACATTTCAACAGATAGCTTTATGACCATGTAAAATATGCCAGCGTTCTGACATGCAAGAAATTGCCTAATATACAGTCTCAAATACAAGTCTAGACCAGATAGAAATAACAGTATTTATTTTTATGCAAGTAGTGGTTATACTTGTGTCAGAGATATAATCACCCAGTACATTTGTACATTTGATCCATGTTAGTTTTACTTCACACTTATTTAAAACAGTGAATACCAATGTTAAATCCATGTTAGGTCAGCAAATAATGCATTGTTCTGAACCATAATAATTATTCATTTACATTAGTTGCTAACTGGCAGATGGCATAAATTATCTTATGCAAAACTCTGAATGCCAAACCTTTCAAACGACCACTTTTTATATGCATCAAATCGTTCTTAATAGACCACCTTTGCCTAAATCCACTGTCCCTTGTGTTTATATTATATATGTGCTTGAAAATGTTTCCCCCCATAAAAGCTTTTACGTTTGCCTTCATCAGAATTGGGTCTGCACTGTTTTCATCTTCATACAGATCTTTCCTATGTAAGTCAATGCTGATTGATGTTGTAAATAGCACATACATGACATGATAGGAAGGTAATGTATCCACTTACTTGTTCTTGAATTCCTCTACAGTATCCTGCATGTGTCTGAGTTCTGAATCTAAACGAGATTTATCATTTATTAGACTGTCTAGTTGTCTCCGCAAGGCAGTAATGTAAGATTCAAATAGAGGTTCCATGTTGTTCTTTACTGTTTTCACACCCTGCTCTTGCAAAAGACTCCATTTTGTTTCCAGTACTTTGTTCTGTTGTTCTAAGAACCGGACCTGTAGAGCAACAGCAAAAAGAAAAAACAAAACTTAGTTTTGTATGCAAATGGTACTCTATGAGGTATTGTAATTGAAAGCAAATAACCACAATTGATAGCTATGTAGAAGGATTTTTTAAAAAGCTTTGATTTATTGTGAAAAAAAAACTAAGGTTAATTAATTTGCTTACCTTGTCAATGAAGGAGGCAAACTTGTTGTTAAGGGTCTTAATTTGCTCTCTTTCTTCTGTTCTCACTCTCTGAATGTTTGGGTCAATTGCCAGATTGAGTGGTGCTAAAAGACTCTGATTAATAGTAACTTCTTGGATACCTCCAGGTGGGCACACTGGAAAACCAGCACCACCACCAAATCCTTGCCCACCACCAAATCCAAATCCTTGACCTCCACCAAATCCAGATCCTAGTCCTCCACCATATCCTGCTCCACTACCGGCTCCTGAACCATGTCCATAACGGGACTGTGAACTGATGGAAATTCTATTGCTTCCTCCTTGATTCTGGAGACTTCTGCTGCCAAAGCCACCAAAGCTAACACGGCCAGAGCCTGCACCTCCACAGCCTGAACGACTGACAGAGAGTGTGCTGAAGTTGCTTCGGTTTGCCCCAGGTGCAACAGCAGAAGCGGCACTGAAGCCTTTCTTGCTTCCTCCAACAGAGTATGTTGTTTGGCGATACACAGACATGGTCCTGTTAGTTGTAGAATGATGTGATGCTGAAGATGAGCAGAATAAATGCAGAGTGAGATTCTTAGTGGTGCAATTCCCCTTTTTATCTCTCTCAGTTAGTGGGTTTGGTCATAGGGTTACGTATGTGTCATCTTACCTCAATAATGGGCTTGGCATGCCTTCCAGCGATCTAAACACTGAGCTCATATGATTAATGCAAACCTATAAAATCTGAAGTGCAACACACAAAAAGCTCATATTCTTTGTGAAAGCTCTGTCTCCTTCCAGACCCTGCTTCACATATTACTTTATCGTTTGACTTTTGTAATCCTTGGTTCCTTGAATTACTGATTGAGAAATAAAATAAGATCCTGATCTTAGAAACAACTTGTTTCTCATCTGCATTCAGATTTTTTAAATTTTACGAACAGTTAAAGCTTCAGTTGTAAATTGATTAAATATATATAAATTATTATATATGTTTGTTTAGAAACCTTCAGCTCTATGTGTTATGGAAAGGAAACTTAAAACATTACTAATAAAATAAACACAGACACAAATGCTTGGAAAAAGGTCTTTACTGAAAGGAATTTAAAAACATCCTTAACTTCAAATATTTTATTTACAACACAACTAATCATATAACTTGTAACACATCCCTGGAATTTAACACCTTAGGGAATACACCACCATTGCGGCCTTTTTATAGCCTATATAATACCATATAAAAGTTTTATCCCCCATTTATCCAGACAGGCAAATCAACATTCCAAATAAAGACCACAACGCAATTAAAGTAAATTTACAGAAAGGGTGGAAGGATGGGAAGCTGCATAAACTTTATATTTATGAGGTTATTTTTTTTTAGATTTACTTCACAGACCACCGCTTATATAGCCCCACTGCCCGCGCAAAAACTGCGCCAATCAAACGTTCCCTGGCTCCCAGCCAATAGCGAAGTGCTGTGGCAGCGCAAGTCAAACTGCACAAAATATAAATGCAGGAAATGATGAGTGAACTATCCTGAGGAAGTCTGACGACGAAACGCGTTGAGCATTGAGTACTATTTGGGACCCTGCATTGTGGTATTAGCGGCTTTATTGTTTATGTGTGCTGACTGTCTACTTTTTTTTTTTTTTTGGGCTATCTGTATGAATATGTGTCATTGGCTTGGTGCACTTTTGGTACTAGTACTTTGTATTCGAGCATTTGCACTTTAACACTGTACTTTGCACTTTAGCATTTGCACTTTATTGCCCAGTTCAGCATTATGTATTAGTGAGCTCAGGGCTGCCATCAGAAATTTTGGGGCCCCTGACAAAGCTCAAGGTCTGGGCCCCCTGGTGCCTGCACCGGAGTCTGTCCGTCCCTCCCCCTCCTGAGTCCGCCCACAGGGATGCAGTGTCTGCAGGGCCGGTGCAAGGATTTTTGCCGCCCTAGGCAAAAGTAAAGTTTGCCGCCCCCCATGTGACATCACAATGCCCCACCCATATGATCTGCCATGTTAACTAACACAGTGCTGCCGTGTTTACAATAAAAGGCCTGCAGGGACAGGCTATAGACACCAGAACCACTACATTAAGCTGCAGTGGTTCTGGGGACTATAGTGTCCCTTTAATGTGAGGTAAATTAGAGATTAGTGCCACGAATAATATACTAGATTGCCTACTTACAACCAGATGAGGATGATGATGGGCTCTAGCTGCAGTCTGGCTCCACTGGTCTGGTGTAGAACAGGCTCTCTGGAGGCGGTTTGTAACTGTGGTCACAAAAATCAATGTTCTGGGAGAACGGGAAGCAGCTCCATTTTTTTGAGGGCCCTTTACACAGCTCAAGGTCTGGGTCCCAGGGTCCACCTGTATGTTCCACCAATGAGTTTGTTCACAGGGGTGTGTGTATGTGGGGGGGATGTCCTGATGTGTGTAAGGAATGCATTGTGTGAATCTGTGTTTGTATGTGTAAGGGCTGTAAGGGCTGCAAGGTGAGTTTGTGTATGTATGGGATGCAGTGTGTGCGTCTGTAAGGGATGCACTGAGTGTGTGAAAGGGGTGCATTGTGTGTTGCTGTGTGTAAGGGATGCATTGCTTGTGTATGTGTGTCTGTGTGTAATGCATTGTGTGTTTTTCTGTGTGCAAGGGGTGCATTGTGTGTGTGTGTGTGTGTGATGGATCAATCTCTCCCCCCGTCCAATTTCCTTCTTCTCCCCCTCTCTCCAATTTCCTTCTTCTCCCCCCCTCTCCAATTTCCTTCTTCTCCCCCTCCCTCTCATTGCCTTCTCCCCCCTCCTCTCATTTCCTTCTTCTCCCCCTCCCTCTCATTTCCTTCCTTCTCCCCCCTCCCTCAAATTTCCTTCCTCCCTCAAATTTCCTTCCTCTCCCCCTCCCTCAAATTTCCTTCCTCTCCCCCTCCCTCAAATTTCCTTCCTCTCCCTCCCCTCCCT